AAAAAAAAAAAAAGAAAGAAAAAAAAGAAGGAAAGAAAGGGAAGAACTGAAGAACTGTGCCTGGGCCAAGTGGCATCCAGCCAGTCACCGGGGCCCTCACCTGCTGGTGTAGCCGGTGACCGGGTTCCAGCGCTGGTTCTCATAGATACAGATGTTCTTCACATCCGACTGTGTGTAGATGTTGCTGGTGCTGCTGGCCAGGCCTGGAAGGAGACGAGGCTGCTGGGACAAAGCTATGCCGGCCCTGGGGCCCTGCAGATGGCTTGGAGCCCCAAAGCCCACAGAGAACAGGCGGAAGGGAGGCTATAGCCAAGGCAGCGGAGTCAGGGAGCAGGGGTGTGAAGCTCATCTCACAGGCCTGGCCTGGCTGAGGTTCCTCTCTCTGTGGCCATGATTATTCTGGGCCTTGATGAGAAGAATCTGCTGTACACCAAACCTCCCGTGCCACCACCTTCACCTCCATCTCATGTATCATCCTCACCCAGGACCAGGCAGATGTGAGGCGTCCCACAAAGGTACCTTAGCTCACACACACAACCTCTGGGAGCTCCAGTTTCTCCAAGGCACACAGACGGGGAGCTGCCCAGTCCACACCGATGTGAGTTCCCACAGTATGAGTGCACCACAGGTCTAGTCACTGCCTCCCACCCTGGGGCACGGGCTCTGTGGCATGGAACGTCCTTTCAGCACTTCTTCTGCCACCCAAAACTTGGAGAGGCCCTGGGGGCTCAGCAATTCCTCACTCCAAAGATGCAATAGACCACATGAGGGCTAGAGTTTGGGCCACAGAACCAAGAGCCAGCTACAGGGTCTGTCCAAATCCACCCAGCCCTCGTCTGTGAAATGAGGTTGACTGTACTGCAGGGCCCCAGCACCTGCCTTCTAGAATATTCAAGGCCCTCAGAGGGCACCCCAGGGGCAAGACCTGGTCTCTGGGCTCTCCTGCCCTGTGCCTTGGCCAGGAATTGTCCGCCTGTGGAGGCTGGCAGTGGTGAAGGTCAACTGTCAGCCAGCTGTTAGCTAAGTGTCAGTGCTGGGCCAGTGTCCCTGGTGCTGGGCAGGGGAGTAGAGGGAGCAGCTCGTGGTCAGGCTCACCTTGGACGCAGCCTCCACCGTAGCCGCCTGTGTACACCCAGGCCGTGTGGTCATAGCCGATGCCCCACACCACGCCACGGCTATTGGCCTCCACCACACGCAGGTGACCTCCCATTTGCCGCCAGAACCTGGGGGGCAGGAGCAGGGAAGAGGACAGACACCTCAGCCTCCATGATGAGGTATTGTACCATCCTGGTCCCCAGACCCCCTCGGCCTCCCCTGTGTCAGCCAGTACTGCCATGGGACAGGTAGGAGGTCCTCAGGAGCCTGCCCCTACCCGAGCTACACCAATTGGGGCAGAGGACAGCAGAACCTTGTGTTGCCCCCTGGGGGCCACGACACAGGCCTGGGCAGGCCGCAGTGACAGGTACAGACAGCCTAAATGTAGTGACAGAGCCAGGCATGGTGGAATACACCTATAATGCCAGCACTCTGGGAGGCTGAGGCAAGCAGAGGAGCAAGTTCAATCCCTGCCTGGGCAATTTACTGGCTTAGCAGACAATGTCTCAAAAATTTTCTAAAAAAGAGCTGGGGATGTGACTGAGGGAGAAGGCCCTGTGTTCAGTCCCCAGTACCTGAATAAAACACTGTAGTGGCAGAATAGGGACACACTATTTAACCCTTAAGTGGGTGTCAGGGAGGTCTGGGCCTTGACCCTGCAGCTTCCCACAGGCTGAGGCCAAGTCCCTGTCACCACGAGGGCGCCGGCACAAGGCACTCAGTGAATACAGATGCACCCCTAATCCACTGAGAGGGGTGAAGGGTTCCTGGGCTTGATTCCAGCCACTGGAAAATGAACCCCAGCCTCACAGGGCTGTGCCCCTCCCCGTAATCCTCCTCCTGGTGCTCTGCTCACACCAGTCCCCTTAGGCTACCTCAGTCCCTCTAGAGTCTTTGCTTATTTACTTTTTTGAGGTGCTAGGGATTTTGGTACTTTGCACTGAGGTACACCCTGAACCTTACCCTATCGCATCCTATCATATCTTCTTGCATCTAATCATATCCCATCCCATTCCATCTTAATTTGAGACAGGGTCTCTCTGTTTCCAAGGCTGAACACAAACTCACCATCCTACTGCCTCAGCCTACCAGAATGCTGGGGTTACAAGTATACACAATCATGCCTGGTTCCCCCTGGGGCTTTAAATGCCCCAACTGAGCAATCTGAGCTCCAGTCTGCCCTCCGCTGTGTCTGAAGCAGCCCCAGCCCTTGCAGCCATGAAGTCCTGTTTACTGCCCACTCCTCCCTGGAAACACAAGAGTTCCTCCCTCTCCTCTCTGCCCCCATGGCCCTGTGCTGCACGGTTCAGCATGAGCTGGGTGCCTAAGCTCCAGGATTGGAGTTCATGGATGGGGAGGGACATGGCTTCTAGGATTGTCCAGGAGCGCCGGGGTTGGGGACAGAACCTGCTCACAGCCATGCGTGTCCCCCGACCCCTGCCCAAAGCTGAGCTTGAGCAGAAGTGGGGAGGGCCTGGCACTGGGAAGCCAGCCTGTGTGCCTGGGACCTGGGGGTGGGCATGGTGGGCAAAGGGTGGCCCATGGAGCCCCAGGCCTGGCACGTGGGGATGTGAGGCCGCAGTCCACTCACATCTGGTCACAGGGTAGCAGGTGGTCCTGGGCCTCCAGGTCCGGGCTGGGCTCACTCACGAAGATGTCCCCCTTGCAGGTGACAGACCAGATGGCCTGCAGGGATGGGCGGCCATGGACCTTTCGGCTCTCACAGCAGCTCAGACTGAGCAGGGCAAGCTGGTGCGGGTATGGGTCGGTCACTGCGGGGCAGGCCTTGTCGCTGCTCCTGGTCCCCCAGCCCCAGAGCCGCCACTCACTCACCCAGTCGTTCATGTCCTGCTCGGTGGCGGCGGCCAGGCGCACAGGCCACCTCTGCTGCGTCCTCTCTGGGGTGTACAGGGCAAAGCAGTGCTTGGCCTCGCTGAGCACAGGCACCAGCACCGTCACCTCGTTGAGGAACACGTGGAAGTACTGTTTGACAAGGAGCATGTGGAAGGCTGTTACCTCGGCTGGGGTCCCCACGGCCTGCCAGTATCCCTGGGGCCACAGCACCGAGCAGGTGCCAGTATGAAGCTGCACTTTAAGAACAAATGTCTTCGTGACTTTTTTAAAATTTTATTTTGCAGTACTGGGGACTGAACCTAGGTCCTCTGCACCAAACTACATCTCTCGTCCTTCTACTTTTTGAGACAAGGTCTCCCTCTGTTGCCAAGTTGTCCCAGCTTCAGCCCTTTGTCCTCTAGACTGCTGAGGTTACAGGTATATGCCGTCACGCCCAGCTTCTTCATGACATTTTAAATACTTCTGACATCAACTGCCTGTGACATGCCAGCTGCTGGGAGGTGACAACTCTATTTTGCTAAGCCTGAGTTGTCATTTCAAAAATAGTCTGGTCAGGTATGGTGGCGCTCACCTGTAATCCCAGCACTCAGGTGACTGAGGCAGGAGAACTGCCACAAGTTCAAGGCCAGCCTGAATTATGTAGCAAGCCCCCTCAGAGAAAAACAACAGCAAAAAAACAAAACAAAGCAAAAAAAAACTAGAGTCTACGGGCAGCAGCTAGGGGAAAGGAGGCTCTTGGCGCCCACGGTGCATGAGACAGTGCTTTGTAAACGACAAGCAGATTCTGGAGTGAGCATCTCCAGGCCCTGCCTGTGTCCTGCTGATCCTGCTCCCCTTGCCTTTCCATACCTTCTTCTCCTCATGGACCATGTAGTAGATGAAGAGGATGCTGTCGTGGGCCCCATCATGTCCTGTGAACTGCTCCAGGGCCACGCGGACGTCCACCCATTTGTGGGGCTTCCAGTCGCACCACCACTGCAGGCTTCCGGTCTTCACCCACACGGACTACAGCCAGTGCCGAGGCCACAGGGACATTGTCACTGCCCCTGGCCCTGCATGCCCATCCCCATTCCACACCCCAGAGCTGGCTGCTCCACACTGCCCAACACCCCCACGAAAGACAAGCATCATAGTCAGGCACTGGACTAAGGCAGAGCTGTCCCTCTGTGACCTCCTCTTTCTCATGCAGCTGTGGGACTGGTGCTGTTAGCCCATGTTGGGTGGGGAAATGAGTCCCTAGAAGAAAGCCAAACTGGCTGAGTATCAGCGGAGTCAGTGCTGGGACCTAAGCTCCAGCCTGGGCCAGGACTTTGGAAGGAAGACAGGCATTTAGCCCTGGTGGCCTCCAGGGATGGGGCTCTGCCTCAGGAGTGGCACAAGCTGCACCCTGGGGAGGGCCAGGACCACTAGCCACTCCATCCTGACTCATTTTGACAAACCACAATGCAGTGTGTGTGGGGACATGATAAGGTGACCTCAGTTAAGAGAAAAAGAAAAGGTGCTTTGATGTTCCACCCGCTGCCTGCCTCTTCTGAGATTGCTGCCCTCTCCAGGTCCCCAGTCCTTGCACAGTGCCTGCAAGATGGTGGGGCCTCAACAGTCCTTCAGGATGGATGCAAGATGAACCAGCTCATTTCCTCATCCTTAAGCCACACTGAGCACCCAGGATGAGTGGACAGAGGCAGGCAGGGCTGCTGCCACCTGCTCCTTCCTCTCCAGCTCAGACCTGGTACACAGCAAGCACTCAATAAGTGCCTCCCGTGAAGAGTGCAGAGGGACAGGAGGGCGCCCACCTGCTCCACGGCCTGCTCGTAATGCCTGAAGTTCTCCAGCTCCCGCTTGGTCCTCTCTGTGAGCTGCTGGAAGATTTGCTTCCTCCAGGCGGCGGTCTGGGCTTGAGTGATGGACAGGGACAGGGACTGCACAGAGGGAGATAGACCTGCAGGAGGCCAGAGCCTCAGAGCCAAGTTGCCACTCTGCGGCTGGGTGGAGGACAGGGCTTGCATCCTGGCTTTTTTTTTTTTTTTTTTTTTTTTTTTCC